AAAACCCTGCAAAAATTTTTGAGAAAAGTAAACTATTATCATCGTTTTATACCCAACGCCAAAAGACTCTTAAATCCGTTACACGATTTATTAAAGAAAAATAGGAGATTTATCTGTGATTCGGAGTGCCAAAACACTATCTACAACACTAAAACATGCCTAACCAGTTTCCCAGTTCCGTGCATTTTTAATCCAGACGAACAATTGGTATCTATACACAGATGCCAGTAAACTCGAAATGGGGGCAGTACTAAAACAAACGCAAATCAACGGAAAACAACGCCCAATTGCTTACTTTTCAAAAAAACTGTTAGATTATCAAAAAAATTATGGCGTTACGGAATTAGAATGCCTAGCTATAGTGTAGGCAATGGACTATTGGCACGATTATCTTTATGGAAAAAAATTATGGTTATAACGGATCATCACGCCTTAAAATGGTTGAAGTCTTTTAAGAAACCGAACTCCAGATTATTTAATTATTCATTACATCTTAGCCAATAAGATTTCGATGTTAAATACAATCCCGGCATTGCTAACATAGAAGCTGACCTATTGTCCAGAAATCCGGTGTTAGATATCGGCCTGATATCGGACATATGAAAATCGTGAATTTAATTGAAAGAGAACGCATTTATGTCAGCACAAAGATAAGAGCTAACTATCGGAAAATTACCATAAACAAAATAACTTAATCGTAAAAACTAAGGGAGATAAAACATGAATCTTGATACGAAAGTCCCTTAGATGCAGACTGCTGAAAGAGAGCCGTGAAAAATTCGGTCACATAGGAGCAAAGACAATGTTACCACTAATATTTAGTATGTACACTTGGCCTAATATGTCGAAAGATGTATCCACTTTCGTAAATGGCTGTGGATTCTGCCAGTTTAATAAAATAAACCGTCGTCAAAAGTATGGAGAACTGTCCTATCTCCCAGCCACAAATCCTTTTGATGTTATAGCAGGGGTGTCCAACTCGCGGCCCGCGGGCCGCATGCTGCCCAAGGGAAGTTCGAATGCGGCCCAATAAACGTGTACACAAAACTGACAATTTTTAAAATTATTTATTTATTTATTTCAACGGCATAAACTCAAAAAAGTAGTTTTACAAAGCCTTTATACATGTTTTATTTTTGAGTGGAAAATACTGTAAATATTTTCAGACACTTAGAAATGTGTGAATGAGGAAGGTATACTAAATAAAGCTGGAGTTAGCTCTCAAAGGAGTATAGACTCAAATTCGGGGAAAGGAGAAAAAGACCTAAAGATAAAAAGTAATAAGAAAGGTTAAATAGACCTGTTATGCAATATGAACCCTTAATTTTCCAACCTTCCTCACTTCTTTATCTTTTGTCCTCTTTCTCCTTTCCCCGCATTTGGGTCTACAATCCTTTGAGTCTCAACATCAGCTTTATTTAGTATTCCTTTCAGCGTTACAAGATTCGGATTCTTTGCATCAAATTTGGCTACCCTTTTATTAGTTTGACGTAAAATATATCAATTGGCACATTGGCTTCTTTTTGGCTACATATTATTTATAAATATATTAGTTGAATGAAAATGCACTTTAAAATGGTGTTTTGTTGTTTTTTTATTAAAATTAGAGACGCAAATAAAACAAATATTTGTGTTTTTCAAATAAATTTTTGTTTGTCTCCTTTATAATAAATGAATTTATCTATTTCTAAGTAAAAATTGAAAGTGTCTGTAAAAGTAATTTTTAAAAATATTCTTTTTTGTGGTAAATTTTTAATACCTATTACTATAATCTAGACATGCTAATACTTAAATATATTTGTATATTTAAGAATTGGGTCAAAATATACTTGTGACCCAAAACTCCATTACTTCTCCCAATGTGGCCCCAAAAAACAAAAAGGTTGGACACCCCTGTGTTATAGCTATTGATACAGTGGGAGGATTTAAGGGATACAACTTGAAAAAATAGTATTTGCACCTAACGATCGACTTTTCTACTCGGCATTTATGGACATTGAGCTTTAAATCTCAAACTGCCAAGGACTTTGTGAACTTAATAAACAGTGTTATACAAATACAAAGGCCGAAAATGATATTAGCTGATCAGGTATGCAGAAATCAACTCAAAAGAATTAATGTGTTTTTTAGGAAAACAAAAAATAAAATTAACATTCATATCTTCCAATTATCTGGCAAGTATTGGCTTATGTGAAAGGGTTAACCAAAACATTGTAACTTGGTTATGCTGCAAGACGAACGAAAGCAGCAGGGTCAGTTGTTGGAGTAAATTACTGAAAACGGTAACAGAAGAATATAACACTCTCCTCACTCACTAACGGGTTTTTCACTAAAATATCTCATGTTCGGCGTTCCACCGATTCCACAAGTCATACCGAATACTCTTCTGCCAGTAGAAAAAGCTAGAAAATTGGCTTGTAAAAATACTCAAAGGAAGCAGGAAGTGAATAAAAATTATTTTGATAACAGACACCAGAAAGTAACGTAAGACCCAGGAAACCTAGTACTAGTCGAGAATAAAAATGCAATCACGTGAAAAAATTAGAACCTCTAATATCTGGCTTGTATAGAGTATTAAGACAGGTATCGAATGTACAGTATTATATGAAACAGAGTGGAGAAAAAAGAAAAACTGAAAGACATCGTCCATATATCCAAGTTACGTTTGTACAACAACCCAATCTTGGATCTACAAAGCGAGGGATGCAAGGGTGTTGTTAATCCTTCAAAACCAGAAGCGGTTAAAACGATAGGGCAGGCGTGGAAAAAAGAAGGTCAAGACAAAAGCTTCTAGAAGGTCAAAAAGGAAGGACCACCTGCAAACGACAGATATCGATAGACAGAAAGAAATAAACTTTACATTTATTAATAAATTCACTTCCCTTATCAGTTTGAAGTTTCTCTGGTTTTCTTTCACTGAAAATCTTGATAAATGCTTTAGATATTTCGTCTCCAGTTTCTTTTTAATTGGAATTGCCCATGCGTATTTACTATATATATCTATTACTGTCAATATGTAATTTGTATTATCATTATATCTTTTAAACTTTTTCATATCCACTAAATCTGCTTGCCATTGATCATCAATATGAAAAACACATGTTCTTCTTTTACTAAATTTTCTTATAATTGATTTATGTTTAGTATATTCATCCTGTTGATGTAAAAATTCTGTAATAACTTTTCTAGGTAAACCAATGTTTTTTTGTAATTCACTTATTGCACAGTAACCAGTTTCAGGATCATAATAATTATCAGCAATCGAACTCACAAAAATACAGCCTTTTTAGTACCACAAACAGCACACGTTCCTTTTGCTATAGGTTTACTATTTTTTGTTCTTGTTTCTATAATATTATTTGTTTTTGTTTTCTTTTTACACTTGAAACAATAGATACCATTTATATTGGGAATATTTCTAAGCTGAATCTCTTCTATGCACTAATGATTAGTTTATAACAGCTCTTGCTTGTTTTTCTCCAAGTGGGTAAAAGGCACTCAATGGGTTATCAATAAGATCTAATTTATTTAGCATTTCTTGATCTGCTATATGTCTATCAGCAGTATTTTTTGATTTACTATAAGCAATATCATCTTTTTACAAACTTTATCTACTATATTTATTCCAGGATCACCTCTTTCTATTTTTTTTTGTAATATTCATATTTTTAATAAACTGTTTTTCTTTTAAATACACGTCAGATTCTGATATGCTCCCAGCTTTAAATAGATTTAATAGACGTTTTAAAAATTTTAAATGCTTGCTTGTCCTCCTTTCTTTCCAGCAGTTTTAACGATTTATCTATAATTTCAATTTTTCCGGCTTCCAAGCTTAATGCAGCTAACGGAAAGATAACAAACGCAAATAGACTTAAAGCACTAAATATAAATTATCCAACTGTTAATGTTACACTAATTTTATGATAATCATTATAATTTTTTCTGTAAACATAGATCTTCTTCTCCAACTATTCTTCCATTTATATAGGAAAAAAATTGTTTCTGAATCGCACTTTGGATCTATCCTATTAAGATCTAACAACAGAAAATCATATGCTTTCTCTGTGAGTTTTGTAAATATGTTTTTAAATTCACCATCAATTTCTTGAATTATTTGTCGAATTTCTTTGTTTTGAATATTAAAGAACATAAAATATTTACAGTTATTTTTGATGTTAATTGGAGTCAAATAATAGGATTGAAATACGTAAATAATTGGAGCATTTTCTTTCCTTCCTCTGATAAAGAATTTTACAATTTTAAATTGATCTTTTTCTGCAATACAATCGTCGAAAACAATCAGAATTTTTATTGATAGATTTAAACTATCGATGTTAATCATATCCTCTATGCCCGAACAAACTAACGATTCCTTTATAAATTTTTTGAATAACTCTAATAACTTTTTATTTTAACACTCAATATATCTTCTTCTTCCAACTCATCAAACTGTATAGTTTTCTCGAAGTTTTTCATATTTTCGTTCATTAATATCTTTGGCACAAACATATGAAGCATCAAACTTCAGTTGATCATAACTTAAATTTAATAACAAATTTGTTTTTCAACATCCTGAAGGACTGACGACTAAGAGTAGTAGTGGTTTGGGCCATACTGATCACAAAATTAATTTCTTCAGTAAATTGCAAATAAAAATTTGTTGAATGGAATTATTTCAGATCACAAAATTAATTTTTTGAGTAAATTGCTATCGAATAAATTAAAATTACATAACAATTTTTAAAATTGCAAATAAAAATTTGTCGAATGGAATTATTTCAGATCACAAAATTAATTTTTCTATGACAANAGCAAACACGCAAACTGAGACCAATGAACAGAAGTGAATAAAAAATGGCGCGGCAAACTAATGTAACGTCGTATGGTGAATTTTTGTTCGTATCGTGGAGCAAAAATATGTTCGAATTTCATGTCGTATCCTGAAAATTTCGTATCCTGGGGCATTCATATCCTGAGGTACCACTGTATTAAGAATCTATTAAACCTAATTTCTGTTAATTTATTTTACTTACCATTGGTTCGTCAGTATTTTTCTGAAATTGTACAAGCCGAACTCTAGTTACATTTTCCATTTCAGTTTCACCAATGCTTTCACCTTCTTGATTACCATTCAGAAAGGGTAAAATGGGTGGTGGTGTTACTCGAATGGCATCTTCACCATAAACTTCATGTGCTACAACATCATGTGCTTGAAGTAAAGCCTAATTTTAAAAATAATAAATATATTTATATTTGAAATAAAATTTCAATATTTTGGTTATTCTTTTGAGAAAATAAAAAAATTAGTGTAAATATTAATAGCAGTTTTCTTTCTTTAACTAATGTAAAATTAAATCTATTGTTAAAATAAAATTTTTTGGTTGTTTCTTTTATTGTTATTGATAAAAAATGCACCCAATATCAACAGAAAAAAATATTAGCAATCAATTCAAAAAAAAAAACATCCAAAATTAAATGCATATTAAAAAAATATTTTTTCTGAAAAAAATCTGCTGTATTATTTTCTTGATATCTTTCATAATTTTTTTTATTCAAATAATAAGATCTGATCTTCAATTTCATTTAATGTCTAAATAAAATATTATCACCACCATCTCAACTGACTAATCATATATCAAAAGGTTATGATATATTGAACCTGACTGGTCATTTGAGAAAAATGCTACTGTTTTACATGTACATTACAAAAATTAAAGAACTGGCCTAATAATGTCCATCAAATAAATTATGAAAATGATTACAAAATAATTGGATGTGCTGTTATGTTTCTATATTATAAAAACAAACTGGATATAATTTTAGTTCAAGAGTATTTATTTTTCTCTCACTCTTCTAATGATTTTTCCATTAATTTTTTTATATCTTTGTATATTCAAAAGAATTCCAAATTGAACTATACTTTGTAAAGATAATATTATACAATTAACATATAATTATACAGATTACATATCACATGTTAAAATCCAGAATTCTATCACACTGTTCTGCAAAATAAATTATTTCTGTTCGCATCAAATATTTTCACTAATTTTCTTTTTATAGGTTCAATAGTGCTGAATCCAAATCTAGTAACAGAATTAATCTAACACCCAGTACTTTTGAGAAAAATGAGGTTTTTGAAAGAAAACATTTTCTTTTCAACGTCATATTTGTTGGCTACACAAATTGCTAATTGGCTAATTAGATACAAATAAATTTATGTTAATTATCCCCTTTTTCTTAACTTATACATTTAAAAACTGAAACACTTAATAACATGTATTCTTTTTATTATATTCTTCTATTCTTCTTCTGAAAACTCTTGCTGTAGAATCCAGCAGTAATCTGCTAACATATTCTCATTTCACCTTCTGCTGTATTACTTTTCCATTTGAGAAAGAGTATGATGGAACTTCTCTCATGTTCATCAGAAACAGCTCCTGAGTTGGCAGGAAAATATCTAAATGGGAATGCAAGAAATGCATCTTGAATGTCATATTGCAACCCAGTATTTGGTAGAATGTTACCAACTTCTCTATGATACCCTTATAGTTGTTAGCTTGTACATTCAACAAAAAATTCTTACTCACATTTTCTGGCAGATAGGACATGTGTCCCACACTGTCCTTTCTGCTAAGTTAAGTTTTTCCTTAAAACTAAGATCCTTCAAAAGCTATCTTACTTGGGGACCAATAAAAATTCCCTCCTTTACTTTTGCATCACTCAGATGACAAACTTTTGCTTCAGGTAAGCAAAGCCTTCTTCTTCTCTGTCCATATCTATCACAAGGTTTATCATCAAGCTGAAGCTTGATACGAAGAGGAGGAAAGAGGATTTGAGTTTTCTCAATCAGAGCAGAAAAAGCAATATTTTTCTGACCTTGTATCAATATGTTTGCTATGCAATCAAGCCACTTTTTTAACCAAGTAGTGACTGGTTCTTGCTCAACTGTCCTATTTGCATTAAAAAAAAAAAACAGAATTTAGTGTACTGTACCTTCCTTGAAGACCTGTTAGCATATTATATAGTTCTCCTGTTTCATATTTTATTCAAACAACAGTAACAGAAAGTTTGTCTAAAAGAGGCATTTTTCTGCAAAAAAGTGATATCTAGAAAAAACTGTGGTTAGATGTTGGACTTCAGAATCATATTCAACACACTAAATTATATGAAAAAAAAATATCACATTTTCTTTCAAAGGAAGACTTTGATGCAGAACAGCGTTATTGTTAGTCTTACATAGCAGTTTTATCTAACTACAGTAAAATTTCTCTAATTCAAATGTCTAACTCGATTATTTCTTTAACTCAAAGAAAGCAAAGTACTTGGTAGGTCACAATGGATAGCAAAGGGATTTAATGTCTCCAACTTGAATTTCTTAACTTGAATTTTCTCCAAGTCAAAGTTTTTCATGGTCCTGATACTGATTTATGTTATTTTCAACTTACCTGACTCAAATTTTAATATTTATTCTATTCAAAGTGATTCTAAGTATCAGATTCCTATGAAATTTTCAGACAGTTATATCTACTGCCCAACACCTATTTATAGACAATGTTCCAGTCCAAAGCAAGAGGTCCTCTTGCCTTATCATGACAAGACGTACCTGCAAAACTGTTCATTCCATTAGTTACATTGAACATTTTGCTGAAAGGCATTACATGATAACAAAATCAAAGATTCTTTATATAATGCAAGAGAAGTAAAAATACAAATATTCAGAATTGGCAATTTTACTCTATTGTTCCCTAACTTGAATCGTCTGTAACTCGAAGTTTTTTCCTGCCTCTTTGAGCTTCAAGTTAGAGAAATTTTACTATATATATATTTATCACAAATTTTTTGTCCAATTATTTATATATGTATATACAATTAGACAAAAATTTGTGCTAAGTAAGTATTCTTGCAAGAGAGAGAGAGAGAGAGAGAGTGTGTGTACATATACACATGCACACACAAACAATATATATTAATATATTTTATTTAATAAACTTATGATTAATGAAATAAATCAATTGCAAAAAATTCAGCTTCTTAATTATTTCCTCTTACATATTCCTGTGCTTTAGGCTGTGTACACATTAGGCATTTTGCATTGCGTTAAACGCGCATTAGCAGCATACACACCGCGCATTTAGCTCGGCATTCGACGACGATTCGCACTGCTCAGTTTGGAAATGGACAAGAAAGTAATTGCTTGTGTGTGCCTCCTCCATCATCACTATAAAAGACAATAGTAGAGGCAAAGATAATTTTGGGTGCACCCAATATTACAAGGTAGACTGACGCATGGAATGTTTGTGACGTTGTATTCAAAACTAAGACAATATGAACCCAAGTTTTTTAATTCTTTTAGAATATCTATAAAAGCATTTGACGATGGCTGGTCTCTTTTAGATTTCATCAATAAATAGATCAGTATCAAAATGATCGTTCTCCATTTCAGCCAATGTGTGTCTACTCTACCCAAAAGCGCGCGATTGAATGTACAACAATATGGCAGCACATGTATCTCAAAGCGCGTGGCTGATGCCTGCAAAACGTGCGTTCTAACCAAAATCTATCAACGTGCATTTGAGTGTGTATACCTATGCGGAACTCTTGGTTCTTTAAAACGTGTGTTACCAAAGCGCACGTTTGAAAACGCCTAATGTATACACAGCCTTATAGTCCATGAGCAATAAACCAATTTAATGCCAAAGTCTCATTTTAATTCCCATGGACAATAAACCAAAACTAAATACTAGTAGTAAAGTAAATTAAATTCATTTTTAAAGTTTAGTAGTTTTATATATATATATATGTTTTTAGTTCCTAATAACTGTTTTTGAGTGAGTGAGTTAATACTACACTATACTCCTTCATATGCTTAAGTAACACATGCACACACTTCAATTGTTATATGAGTACAACTGTTTTTGATCAGTTGTAGCTATGAAAGGTAGCATAAATTAAGTCTGCTAATAAATATGACATCACACTCCACACATTCCAAAGTAATACTTCTGCAGAGGGCATTCAGCAGAAAAGTACTCAACTGGTCTGGAATCATTTAATCTATTGAACACATCAATTTTGCACAGGACCCTGTATTGATCACAAAACTTTTAGTCACTTATGTAAAAAAGTTAGCCCATACTGACAATTCTGGCCAGTAGATTCAGATTGCAAATAGAAAGATAAACACCATAATTTACTGCAAACCTACATACATTCCCCTTCTTTATACCTGTGTTAACTCAGCTGACCCTTGGTCTTTTAAGTTACCTGCTTTCTGTGCGCTAGTCACAAGAGTGTACTCACATTGTACTGAGATGTCTAATACCAACAATTAACTAAAGCATGTTAAACATATTGCTTCCACACATGGGTATAACTGTTCGTTAATCAACACACTAGCTTCCACATATCAAGCTAAGTTATCTACCACCACTACGAATGTTAACGAAGCAGAAGGTAATCGTGTAGTTCTATGCTATGAACCATCCCTACAGTACATTTACAATAAGATTGCTATCTATTGCTAAGATTACTACTATGCCAAGGATTCAAATCTATGCTTAACTAATAGGAGGAAACCCAATATTTTCCACGTTTTGTCTATTGCAAAAGAAAACACAAAGGATGCCAGAGCATTGGGTGTGTACCATATCCCATTACAGGATGTACGGTTTAACAGGTGACTGACATACATCAGATCCACTTATAGGTCCCTACAGGTCAGATTACACAACCATAAATACGATATAGCAATGGAGAATTTTAACACTGCTCTGGCCTGTTATGCCACTAAACCGAGGGTTTTCCCATGTTGGGACGAGGCTACCCTTTTACATAGGGTCTTTGACTGACATAATATATGATCATTAGTAGCATTATAAATATAGATATCAATAGCTGACAAGAATAAAAATTGCATCAACTCAGATTATATTTCAGTACCACAAGCCTGGAAATATTATTTAGATTGCCAGAAAATTTAATATTAATAATTTCATTTGTAACATTATACCTTGTAAAAAAATTGCTTATTTTATTTATGATGTACAGTAATACCTCGACTTACACGAACCCGGAGTTACGCAATTTTCAAATCTCGTCGATTCATCTTTTGTTTGAGCACCACGCAACTCTTGATTACTCACTCCCCCCACACCATTGTTCAGCTTACATGTTCGGACGTGTTGAGCGGAATCGACACATAGCTACAATTTATTTTGTG